TMTTGTACTAGCAAGATAAWAAGTCTAATACATGTGCTACTTTCTATCAGATAAACATGATGGCATTTACTATCTGAGAGGGTTTGTATCATGCTTTTATAGTCAGGTATAATACAGAGATGAAATGAGTTTGGTCTTAGGCCTTTGCTTCAATAGACAACTATCCATAGACAAATCAGCATTTCACAAAATTTGGCTCAGTTTGAACATACTGTCCAAAAACAGAAATACGAGAGACTAAAGCATTTTAGCACATGATTTCTTAGAATAGACTGGTTTTCTCTGGGAAATTTCTATCATTTGCACTGCTTTTCTACCTAAAGTGAAAGTTGTGCACAGTTTTTCTCATTTACTTATGGAACTGATCTTGTTTTAGAATTCAGTCAGTGTAGAAAGAACTATAAAAAACCCCAGAAAGTTTGGAAGAAAGAGATGTATCTGAAAAAATGAAAAAAAAAAAAAATCCAAACCCACAACTAACCCACCAAAATTGTTGTTTCCCTACAGCCTTAGTCAATTAAGAACAGTAAGAATCATAACCAGATAATATAATGAAAAATTCTAGGGCTTTATAAGCAAGATCAGCCATTTTAACCTGAACAGTCGCAGTGTGTTGACTTCAAAAACTGAGATTGTAAAATCACTTTTTAAATTTCCCCTCRATAACCAGGCTGCTCTTGTTCTTCCCAAATTTATTTTAAAGTTGCATAATAAAAATKAGTAAATACTCATGAACCTACAGGACTGCAAAGGTATCAGAGTAAGCAGTAGATAGATATGATAACCAACCAATAGAATCAAATATTTCAGCTAATGTACTAGGATGTTGATATCTAGCTCTTAAAGTGAGACACTTAAAAAAAAAAATCTACTTCTAATTATGGTTCAAATTAACATCCCAACTATAATGTAACAATTGCATTTCTTCCTTTAGCTGAGTTTGCAAGGATCACTCTTATTTACTGAAAACACTCCACCACCATAAGTACAGAGGAGAAAAGAAGGCGAAAAGGTCCTGGCAGAATTTTCCCCTGATGAAAGACTTTTCACATAAATCAAGGTTAGTAGCAAGAATCCACGCTGAAATACAATCTAGACCATACAATTTGACCCACAAAATAACTCTGAAAGCATCTTCTCTTTTAAAAATACAGCAATGTGGGTAACAACGCACACAGAAGTGCACAATCTGTTAACATTCTAGAAATATGGTAGATCTGCTCAGTTCTAAAAAATCATTTATTTTCAGGTTTTCAACACTTCAAGAGTGAAAGGAAAATAAAATCTGCACYACCTGAGGTGGTAACCCCTCATTAAATATTGCTATTATACCAATACAACTATAATAAAAACAAAATCTATAAATAAGGTATTATCACAGATGCTTAAAATTCAGCCATGTTTAAGCATGTTTGCCTAGCAAATATTTGCTTTTTAAATAGTCTACCATTAAATAGATTAGGTTTCAGCAGCTCTTCTGTATGTAATTCAATCAGATGGTTATTCTCAGTCTGGCTGAACCAGAACATTAATGTTATATAAACACTGACTGGCTGATCTTCCAACAGACTGATGAAAACACCCAAGACAGGAAGACTTTTCTGTGAAAAACAGATGGATCACCCATAAGGAGAGACAAAAATGGGAGACAAAATAAGAAACAACATGGAGCTGCTGGAGACAGTTCAGCAAAGGGTCATGAATTTTTTTAAGGGTCATATGAGGAAARGCTGATAGAGCTGGGACTGGAGAAGAGAATGGACAGAGGTGATCYTACCAATGTACATAAAATCTGATAGTARGGTGAAAAGAGGATGGAKCCAGGCTCTTTTCAGTGGTATCCAGTGACAGAACAAGAGGCAATGAGCACACACTGAATGCCAGAATGTTCCAAATAAATATCAGGAAACACTTCCSCAGTATGAGGGTGACTGAGGAACAGCAAGGAGCTGAGAGGCTGAGGAGCTCTCTCCTTGGAGATATTTAATTGSTGTGTAGACACAGTCCTAGGCAAGCAGCTCTAGGTGACCCTGCTTGAAAAGTGGGTTGGATAAGGTGACCACCAGAGGTGCCTTCTGAAACAGCCATTTTCTGATCCTCTGATTCTGTAATAACTAAACAACTGAATTGGGTAGTAGTGAAATAACCAGTCAAAAGAGTAGATCTATTCTCTGAGGTGGCAGCAGAAGTTAGACAAATCTCTATCACAATGYAGACTTGGTTTTGTGGTATTTGCTTTGAGTCGCAGGAACATATACATCTGACTGGGAGGAATCTGAAATATTCAAGTCTGGTTTCAAAAAGCTCCACTAGGTCTTCACARAAGACTTTAAGGATTTTGGATGCTGGCTCTGGAATCTATATTTCTCATGGAAACCAGGCTACATTTCTGTACTTTTCATTTCATTGTTCCATGCAAAAAAAAATCTGGCTCTTCTAAGCAGCTGACAAGCATGGAATTTACATGCAAGAACAGGACAATTGTGAGGAGTTAGGACATCTAATTGCTCAAAAATCTCAAGAAATAAAGACAATTGTAAARTTAAAAGTCATTGCACATTGACTAGATTAAGTCTTCAAAAAGTATGTAAATGACCTTGCTTACAAGTACACTGCAGCATTTTTTGTGACTGCCCTGCTGAGGTAAATCCACACAGAAGCACATTTACCCAGTTATACATTCACGTTTGCATGCAACCTCTCACTCYGTGTCATTTGCACAGGAAGTTAAATTGTTTAAAATGACACCACTTGAATAATTTCTGTAAGACACAGGGAAGATGCATAAAGTTCAAACTAATTACCAGCAACAAGATGTTCTGCTGGTATATTATTGCAAATCAATTTTAAAAGATCACACTTTGAGTAAAAAAAYTCACAGTTATAAAGACCATTATACTTGTCTTCAAAGACATATTGCACAAGATTTTTTTAAGTAATGTTGTAATACGGAAAAATTAGAATGTTTTCTCTCTTAAAAATGTAAAATTTGTAATTACACCTTGCATATTTTATTCATCTTTCCTTAGCTTTTCATGTAAAGTTAATTTGGGTACTTTCTTACTCTGCCAACTTCAAACCTATTGCTTTCACCGATAAAAAATAATAGATATCTCATTCTTGGAAGCCAAAATATTTAAGTCAACATTTTAATACCTCTTTTAAAAAAWTGGATGATTGAGTTTATGTGTTCCKGAGCATATCTGGACTACATTATATTTAATTACACAATTTCTTTTTAATATCTGAAGTACAATTATATGGTAAAATACGTGAACATTAGCTGTATGATTAATAGTCAAGATGAAGGAAACATGAAATACAAAATTCTGGTGCTGAATAATTTTTGAGGCATTTTTCACTATTTTCTTCTATAAATGAGATGTGGAGGAATTATCTGAACTATTATAATAAACCACACATTACAAAGGATTGATGTTTGAAATGTAAGGAGGTTTTTTGTGGTTTGTGAATACAAGAATCTCCTTTTTAATGGACTACATACAAAAAGTAGTCAYAAGTTGAAGCCATATTTCCTAATGAGAAGTAGGAAGCTGTCTGCTATTACTCACTGCTCAGACAGCTGTAGATAATATCTTTTCATTTCTCTGACTAGAAATATGTATTCAAATTCTACCAAGACTTAAGAAATTTTAACACATGCACATGCTTCTCTGTCAGAACTTATTTGTGACCTGATTTTGCATGTAAATACTCATAGAAAAGTATGAGATTTTCACTATTCAGCAAGTCATTATTTATCTTCAARTTTACTAAGTCAGGTTCTTTTATAATGATTTCTGGGACCCTAAACCAGTCCTACCCTTTTGAGGGGTGACGTATATTTCTCTACAAAAGCAGAGATTGCAGAACTCAGTACAGAAAAAACACAGTTATTCTAAGGGATTACCTGATAGTATTTGGTAATAAAGTATTGGAAGAAGATGGCCAAGAGATTTTAAAAGCATAAAAATCTTTTCAAAGAATCACTAAAGTAGTTCTAAAATAGTTTCCATAAGTAAATATTTTTTATATGATACTCAAAGGGGACAGCTATTCTGATGGGGGGAGTAAGAAAAACTAATAAGGAGAAAAACAATACAAAATTAAATAACTGTGCAAAAATCCACAAATTATTTTCTCATTAGCCCAAAATGAAATTTGTTCTGATGAGTCTTTTCATATTTTTAGTCTTCTTGAAACTTCCATATATATGTCTATATTTGTACTAATGATATAATAAGTCTTCAAAGAAAGCCTATAGTTTGCTAGACACAGTGAAAAAGTTCTGTATTAATTATTGTTGGCAATATTACATGCTATATTTGCTCTTTATTTTTTATGTTCTTTCTTTTAAGGACAGCAAGTGCAGCTCTTTTTGAGGCTACATATTTATAATAAAAAAAAAATGCTTCTCAAATATTTCACTTCTTAGCAGAGTCATGATAAAACTCAGAGCTGCTA